CATCCATATGGATTCTTCCTAAAGCTAAGAGCCACATGAATTATCACACTCTTTTAGGTATCTAGAAGGGCAAAAATAGTTCTCTAGTGGCTATTTTGTCTAGAATTACTATTCTGCTTAATCCACTCGTGAGTTATCCACACTTTAAGGTTAAAATTGGTCCTAGTTAACCTGTCAGGGGTCTTATCATCTTTCGAGATGCAAATTTGGAATATTTTAAGATAAATCTTGTGTTGGAGAAGATCTGTAGCTCATCTCATTTCCATGTAACATCTAGATGAATCTAAGAGTCAATCAAACAATTTAGGTTCCCGAGGGTTACCCATTATTGAGCAATAGTAATGAGTAGATGGTCATTCACCCAACTACCTTTTTAAAACTCAATTCTCCGACCATTGGCAAGCTTTCATCTAAGGCTCGATATAATAACTTGGATATGCTTACACTAATTATGTCAAGTTCGAGAGCCCCTAAAGTATGGGTCCTCTAAATTCAGAACACTAGTAATCATGAAGGATTTGGCTTTAAGGACTTAAGTTATAGGCTCTCGCTCAAAGTCATGAGACTTAAACATAACTTCATAAGGAAGATCTTTCTTTGAACAATCATGTCCTGAAAGTCCTAGTCCCTTTAATTCTTACAAGTGCAATTAGTAGCGAATAACCATATAGATATTTCTTGTGTTAAAACCTTTGCCGTAAATGAAGGTTTTAGTGAGTTTAATAAGCTAGGTAATAATAGAAGTAAGGAAAAACGCCTATATAAGATATAAGGACTTAAGAGAGGATAGATTTCACTAAAATGACTTTCTCAACCATAAATAGATGAAGAACTTCTAACCAACGAGCTTATTCTTAACCCAATCAACTATCTTTTAGTACGTGTGTCTAATAATCAAATAGAGTTTAAGCAAAGCTCCCAAATATCTTTCAAGATCATTGGTAATAGATATAATATTGAGTTTAATTAGGTTCCTATTAATATTGATACTAACATTTTTAGCGAATAATATCCTAGACTTAGCTAATTAATATTTTGGCTAGAGCTTTTATAAAAAACATAAAAGGAAAAAATTTATAATTATTAATTTGAACCAAAAAATAGTGTAAAAACATTATATTACTCTAACTAATCGTTAAAATGAAACCCAAGTTAGTCACTGCAACAACAGACTAATGAGTTAGCCATAAATTTACTTTATCAAATATTAGGAGTCGACAACTGTTAGCTTTAATATGCTTATAAATAACAAGTTATAAGTTATTAATAAAATTTGAATTTATAATTTTAAGAAAAATTAATACCTTAACTACTAAATTACTATGTTGTTGGCATATTGTCTTTATTGGTAGAATAATATTATTCCACCTAATCTTTGAAATTGAGAATAGGAGAGAGAAATGATTTAACAAGAAAAAATCAATTTTTTAAAGTTACTCTCAGTATGTATTAATATATTATAACAAATATTTATTTATTTTATTGAGTTAATTATCTCCTATATTTTTTTATTGTTATAGCTATGATTTTTTTAGGTTATGAACGTTTTAAACTCCACTGTTTATGATGTACATTCGTGCAATCTTAATTTATAATTTTATTTTATTTTTAATGTATAATTTTATATAAGTTTGTATATAGATTGTAATAAATTATAATCGGTAGGAATTAAAAGAAAAATTATTGTTCATTTTTTTGTTATTTATTTATTTATTTTATGTTTTCTATCATATTAATATCATATTTTAACATTCTTATGACGACTTTACTTTAATATTTTCTCTCATGCACTGTTTCTTTTTTAGGCTACTCAAGTAGAACCTATACTTATTAAATTATTTTGTTAGATTGTTATAAGTTTATAATAATATTATTTTTATTTCTAATATTTCTATATAAATTTTCCTTTATTTGTTGATTTTTTTTATTTTAATTAGATTTTAAATATGTTTGTTTCAATTATTTTATTATTCTCATATAATTTTATTAATTTATTTTTAATATACATTTTAAAATTTTAATGTAATGCCCAAGTTTAAATTTAATACAAATTAAATTTATTTAAATGCAATTTTTTAATTTTTTTTTGGAGTAAAAATGAAACAATTTTGATGGATGATGAAATTGAAAATCATTTCAAGGAAAATGAGTAAAAATTTAGATTTTGTGAGTATTTTTTAAAGAAAAATGAGAAATGGAGTCAAAATACAATTTAGAGAAGTTTTACCACATCAGATGCCCGGTTAGCAGGCTCGATGAATCAGGACGCGCCGAGTGGCAGCAGACACTGACGTGGTGTCACGTCGGTGATCCGCGTGTTCGCGATCGAATAGCCCAAATCCCTTCCCGTGCGCATGGACGACCTATATGCATTCTCTCCCCAAACGCGATCGGACGACCCATATTTGATCGCGATGGACGGCTCAGCTTGGATCGCGATGAACGGTCCAAATTCACTCTCTATATAATCATGATCAGATAGTCTAGATCAAATGCGATGGATGACCCAAATCAAAAGTAGACGGATATAAATAACCCACATCCACACCAAACCCTAACCCTAGCTGTGAGACCCTCTCGCCGGAGAAAAAGACACAGTCGCCAGGAAGGAGACCGCCGCCACCCGCAGCGGCATTGGATCCCTTTCCGACCGCCAAAAAAGGTGAAAATTTTGCTAAGAATTCAATTTTAAATGCACTCATGGTTAAATCGGAGCAAAAGGACCGACTGATTGACCGAAAAATGTGGGTAAAGTCCGGTGGCGCCGTGACAGAGAATTCCACAAAACACATCCGATGAGGCCCTTCACAATTCTCGTTATGCGTGATTTTTTCACCGTTGTGATCACCGTTTCCTTCTCTACAGGTTGACTGGAACAAAACACACAACCGCAACGTGAGCTGGAGGAGCCGCCGCACCGGAGAGCCTCGCCGCCGGTGAGTTTCGTTGTTTTGTATTTTTTCAGCCAACCGAGACCCCTTAACATGTTTTCTCACAAGGATTGATGCGAAATCGACCACCCATGGCAGACCACCACTGTGGGAGGCGGCTCCGTAGCCGAAGCACGGCGGAGCCACCGTGCTGAAATTCTGAAATTGGCCAAAGTGGGCCCTGAGACTAATTTTGGGATTGTTTGACATATTTGTAGGTACTTATAGCGCGTTTTGATTCTCGAAAAAAATTTCAGGGAACCCGAGTACCGTCTGTAGGCGCAGTGAACAGCTTAGCTTTTTAGGCACCAAATTGAGTAAAAATCACTCACCTTATTCTCTATTATAGAATTGAAATCTAATTAACAATAAATATGGTATTCTATACAATTTAAAAATGTTCATAATTAAATTACGGATTGCTAACGGAACCAGAATCAGAAACTATTCTCTGTTGATTCTTGTTGATTGTTTTTACAGTTTAAATGCATGATAGTGCCTTATTGATTTATTTTATAGCTTTGAATACATGTATTGTTATTTTACGTATTTATGGTTGAATTAAAAAAATGGAGGTTAAAGGTAAACAGAAAACTTGTGTGATTAAGTGACTGGATGAAACGACAACCTTACTGAATATCCTGGGAGATGGTGGACAGACTAGGTACATAGAGAATCCTATTGTGAACTTGTCTCATACCGGACGGGGTATGGAGGCTTGGTAACTTGGCGCTCATACCGAACGGGGTATGAAAACGACCCGCTTCACCCTCATACCGGACGGGGCACTGAGGTTTGGTAATTTGACGCTCATACCAGACGGGATATAGGGACGGCCCGTAATTGAGAATGTTAATGGAAAAGGTTCACACGTAGTGGAGACATCTCTATGGACTCCAATGGATTCTAGCAGGCTGGTGATGAAAAATGGGTAATTGTTGTTTGATAATTTGAATATTAAAATATAATATGTGCTATGTTGCCAAGTATATACGGAATCATGATATATATAATGTTATTATTTTCTATATGTTATTTTTCATAAATCTCACTATGGTGAGTGGATGGTAAATGATTTTATTATTAATAAATGAATTTGCTTAATTTAATACTCTATTAGTTGTTTTTTATTTTTTTCTACCAATCTTCATTTCTGTGTCGATAATATAGTGGGATATTCTTACTGGGTTAGTGTAGTTCATCCCTTATTTAACAATTTCATATCAAAAGGACCATAATCTAGAACCTAATCCATAAGAGGGTTGTGAGTAGAATGCTAGTTTTATTTATTCTCCGTTCATTTCCTTATTTTTTTGTATTTTTTTCAAAATGGTGAATTCTGTAATACTAATTGGTACTTTAAGTTATTGGAATGTAAATTTTGGATATTGATTTCGTTTTCGCACTTTAATTATCATTTACTTCCTTTGGATATTTTCGGAATCGTTACATTCAAAGCCTAAATAATAATATAATTATGCAAAAAATAATAAATATTTAACTATAGTGAGATGGTGATGTTAGTAAAGTAAAAATAACATTTATTTTTTAATGCTCCTAAGAGTCCTAATATTTAAACATTCACATTCTTAGTAGAGAGAAAATAAAATAACTAATAAACTACAACAATGGTTAAGGTAAACAATATCTTATTTATCCATCCATTGTTAAAAGAATATATATTTTTTAAAAAAACTAAATAAAAATCAATAAAATTCAAAATTTTATCTTAACAAATTAATTTGCAGATGATTTTTTTAAAATTTTAATAGAAATTTAATGCCTAAACTTAAACTAAACATTTACATTATATTTTTTTTTGATAAATATACATAACATTTACTTTATATTTTACCATAATTCTAACATTTCTATCGCATTTAAATTTAATTTAGAAACATATAAATATGTGAATTTAATATGGAAAATAATTATATATTGTTTTTATACATTTATATTATAATTTACCATAATTCTGATATTTCTATAAAATGTAAATTTGACCTAGAAACATATAAATATATGAATTTAATAACAAAAATAATCATAAAAAAATGTCTACAACTCTTCTTGTCATCCCTTAGCATATTTTATCCATTCTAGCATTAAATTCCGTCGACCTAAAATGACGTCGTTCTGTTCATGTGGGGCAGTCAGTGATACTCCTCCCCCTTGCTGGCGGCAAACTCAAAAGATCCTGTGATGAAACGCCCGTTTCTCATTTTCAAATTTACCACCTAGTGATTAGGGTTTCAGAGATTGAAAAAGAAAAGTCAGAATCTGCACACTGTGTATGAAGAAATGGAAGAATCGGCTTCCTTGGCTTGCAATCTAGCGATTTTAGACAGCCTGACAGACGATTCGATCCAAGAAATTATCGAAAGCTACAATGTATTCTGTTCTGCCACCGAGTCTCTGCTCAACGGTTCTGGTAATCTATCAGCAGGACCGGAGTTCGTGTCACACGTGCATTGTCTCTGCAAGCACGGTCTGGACTCCCTGATCCGTGATCAGTTTCTTAGGTCACTAGAGGTATACAATCGCCTCCTATTTCCCTCCCCGTATTTGAAAAATAATTTTGGGCATGTCTTAATTCCAAAAGAGTCCAATATATTCCTTTTTTTTCCCCTCATGCCCACCTTAAATTTTGATTTTTCTCCACTGAAGAATACTCAAGTACTTGTGTTGCTGGACTTAGAACGTCTATAGTTTAATTCTTATCTTTATCTTTGGCAGGAGACGTTTGAGAAAAATGGTGCGTCGAAATTTTGGCGGCATTTTCATGTTTACAGCAATATGGAGGTTATAGGCGAGAACAAATTACCTGTATGTATGCAGTGAGAAAAACTTGGCAGAATAGCTACTAACTCATTTTCAGCTTAGAAATATATAATCCTAATATTTTGGGAAGAAATTCTGAGAAACAAAAATCACTGTTAACTACCTTATTTTTTACTTGGATAATATTTTAATTTCTAAATGTTTCAGGTTATAATTTGTTGTCTTAATTGTTAGTTTGCATTTTTGATCCCACTAACCCTCAAGTTGGGTAATGGTGGTTAAGAGTGCCGAGCTTGTTTAATAGAAAGTGAAAGCAGTTACACTTGAAAGCTTAAATGAAAAGATTAGCAGGCTGAAATTGAGTAGGATCACAGTGAGTACTGATTATCTTGGATTCAAATCGTTCATGACGAAAGTGGCAATCATCAATGTGCTCGGGCTGCTTGTGAAAACTAGCTTATCAACAATGTTATTAGGCGGATCAATTGTCCTGGTATATAAATATTAGATTGATTTCAAGAGAGAGTAAGATTAGCCAACAAACAATGGAATCACACTAAGTCACTATTTGTTGTGGCCTTGGGTTGATATTTGGCTTCCCCTGAAGTGTGGGAAACACTGGTATTCCAACAGATAGGGCAATTCCAAAGGAAATAAAGTAACTAATTATGGATCTTCTGGTCATTGGGTAACTTGCCCAGTCAGCATTATAGTAGGTTCTACTGCTGAAGTCACTGCTGGTGGGAAGGAAAATATCTTGTCTAGGAGAAGCTTTAAGATAACAAAAACTTAGATGGCAGTATCAAGATGTGGCTAAAAAAGGTTTATGCATAAACTGACTAAGAATCTGCAAGATATGTGTGATGTCAGCGGAAGTAATAGTAAGATGAGTGAGATGACCAATTAAGTAACAATATTGGCTTGGTTCCTTCAAAGCACACTGCAGTCAGAACTCAAAAGGGTGTTGTTCTGGAATAGGAAAAGATGCAGGCTTACCACTCAATATGCCCGTTTCCTTCGAGATACAAGAGTGTACTTTTGTTGGGCAAAAAAAAGGCCTTCGGGCAAATGGCCAACTTGGAGACCAGGAAGATATTTGATAAAAAACCATTAAGATATCTCTTGGGAGCCTGAAATTCTGAATCATCATTACTTCCAAAGACCATGTCATCCACATAGACCAAAATGAGCAAGAAAAGAAGTATCATTTTGAAAGGAAAACAAGGAATTATCATACTGAAATTGCACAAAAATCAAAATTTTTAATTTAGAAAGGGAGCTTTTCAATCATTGTTGAGAAGCTTGCTTCAAAACATTTATGAAGCTTGTACATATGGTTTTTTGTGGTGTTCTGAAATCTGGAGGAGGATACATATAAACTTCCTCATGTAGGTCATTATGAAGAAATGCAATTGTAACGTCTAGCCCATGAAGTTCCCTCTTAGTTGAAACAACTACTAACAGAAATCAAATTGCGGTTTATTTTGCTGCTGGAGAAAAGGTATAGATGTATTGTCTACACCTTCAATCTGAGTTTAGCCTTTAGCAAAAACTAATACAACATCGAGGATCCTTAACACCTATGTGAATGACTTAGATTCTCTATAAGTAGATTAAGGAAAAAAGCTTGATAAGGAGTAAAAGAGAGAATATGACAGGAAAAAAGATATAAGATACTGAAATACCATAACAAAACATATTGGATGCAGCCAACAGATGGTGATTGCTTATGTGTTCCATCAAATTTGAAGATATAGTTAGTCAAGTGAGAGGGTGATTGTTTGTTTCTTTGTGGTTGTATAGGAATGTAGAAAAAGAATGGTCTCCGGTGTCTGGGGGACTGGAATCAACCAATATATCGCTAGAAGATGGTGGGATTGTTTCAGTAGTCATGGATTCAATGCTTACGGTTTATGTGAATGACTCGAGAGAATTTAAGGAAAAAATTTTATGTTACTCCCAATCATAGACTCTGCAACTCTTTTGACCAAAAGGATAACCACAAAGACACATGGTTGTGAATGAGGAGAAATCTTGTCCTTTATCTTCTCTTTATTCTGGACATAAGACACACCCAAAGACTTGTCATGTGATTAGGATGGGAGTTTTGAGAACTAAATTTCATAAGGACCATTACTAAGCAATTTTGAAGTAGAAGTATAAATTATTAGATATGCAGCAGCCAACACAGTGTCAACCCAAAATTTAATTGACAAATTTGCTTGGAATTGAAAAGCAATGGCAACTTCCAAAAGATGATGGTGCTTGTGCTCTACTCTTCCATTTTGTTTTGGGGGTCAACACAAAAGTTTTCGTGCATGGTACCATTAGTCTAGAAAAAGTCCACCAACTGTATTTTCCAAAGCGGTATTACTCATGACCTTTTTAATGCAAAGACTAAATTAGTCTGTACCATGTTTTTAAACTGAATAACTATTTTGCAGCATCTGATTTGTTTTTGAGGAGGAAATCCAAGTGCCTCCATTGTAATTATCCATAATGGTAAAAGTAATATTAGGGCCTAGGAATGGATGGGGTTCCATAAGGACCCCAAATATCACACTCTACTAATTCAAAAGATGATTGTTGTTTACTGAACCTTAAAGGAGAAATTTTCGAGTTTGGTTAGCATGATGACATATATTGGAACACTTACCAAGATTTTTATAAGACAAACCAGACAATTGAGGGATCAAAGGCAAATGAACAAATAATAGATTGGTTGCTGAAATTTTGTGCCCTGAGTTTTGAGAAGGAATGTTGAAAGTAATTGCAGCAAAGGGTATGCGAAGTCCATATAAGTTGTATAATTCATCAAATACTTCACCAATACTGGTCAACCTTTTGCAAGGTGACATCTTGTATAATATAAAAAAGATCAGCAGAAGAATAACTGCTTGGTTAACATAATTTGTCAAGTTACTTATTGAGATTAGATTACACACGAAGAATGATATCTCTAGATTACACTTGAAGAATGGTATCTCAAGAACATTATGTAAAGTGAAGTTAGATAGAGAACTTGACAATATAAATGTATAGGCATGGCGGATCTATCGGGCAATCTAACAAGAAAAAATAGTAAGTACATTTCATATCATGGAGAGATGATTCATCACATATTGAGTGCAAAAAAATGGTGAGTTCTAAAGGTAAATTGATTGCCTTTTAAGTAACACTGCCCCACCGCATAGAACACTGGTAGGAGCTCCTTCCTTTATACAGGTTTGGACTGGTTTTGGGGACTTAATGCCTTACTAATCAAGGCTATAGGTTTACCTTCCTACATCAGTACCACACCTTACCTTTATCACTAACCTCATTTTTCACTTGGAAAGGTTCTCCAAATTTTGGCAACTGGAGCACAAGACTGGAGGACATGGCAGTCTTGAGTTATTGGAAAGCCTTGTTGGCCTCTACGTTCCACTAGAAAGCTCCTTTTTTCAATAGGCTACTGAGGAGTTTGGCAATAATCCGATAATGTTTGATGAATTTCCTATAGTAACCAGTCAACCCCAAGAATTCCTGCAGTGTTTTCAAAACTTTTGGTGGAGGGTATGTTAGCACTGTCTCAATCTTTTTAGGATCTGGCATGACCCTTAGTTCAAATATGATGTGGCCTATGTACTCAACTTCAGACTGTAGGAACGAACACTTGGACCTCTTAGCATATAGCTTGTGTGTTTGCTACACTTTCAATACACTTCCTCCAATTGCTCAAAATGTTACTGTTCATTCAAACTATAAATCAAAATATTATTGAAAAATACCACCACAAATTTACAGAAAAAATCTTTGAAAATATGGTTCATGAGAGCCTGGAAGATTGCCGGTGTGTTAGTGAGGCCGAAAGGCATCACCTAGAACTCATAATGTTCTTGGTGTGTCTCGAATTCAGTTCTAGGGATGTCTTCTTCTCTAACTCTTATCTCGTAGTATTTTGCTTGTAGATCAATCTTAGAAAACATTAAAGTGCGATGAAGTTCATGTAGCAGATCAATGATGATGGAATAAGAAATTTGTTCTTCACTATGAGAGAATTGAATTCTTTGTAAACCACGCAGAAGCATCAAGGCTTGTCCTTCTTAACCAACAAAACAAGCCGCGAGAAGGGATTATGGCTTGATTTAATTATGGAGTCCTTTGACATCTTCTAGATTTGCTTCTCTATTTCATTTTTCTGGTTATGTGAGTGTCTGTTGGGGTGTATGTTTATTGAGACTCCCTCTTCCACCAAGGAGATTGCATAATCAAAGGCTCGGGGTTTGGCAAGCCATAGGACTCCTCAAAGACATCATTATATTGCCTTAACAATGCTTCAAATGGTTCACTCTGCCTTTCGATGCCTCGCATATTCTCAACTTTAGGACCCATAACCAAGAAAATTGTTTCCCCCTCTATGGGTTGCACATGTTTCAGCAATTTCTGAGTTGTGGCTCCTGATAAGTTCCTCTAGTCATTCCCCTTTTCTTTTCCTCTGAGTAGTATCAGCAAGTCTTCATAATGAAATTTTACAGTTGAGTTAACAAAATAAAAAATCATGGGATTGAATTGCTTCATCCAATCAACCCCCAAAATTATATCATAACATCCCAACTTCAGTACTCTGAAGTTATAACAGAATTTGTATCCTTGCATCACTCGGGAGACATCCATGCATTTAATATTGCTTAGAGATTTTTTGGCCATTGGCCATTATTGCTGTCAAAGTCTATTACATTACCGCCTTATTCTAGATCTGTTTAGTGACATTCTCATCCAAGAATGAGCGTGAGCTACCATTGTCCAAAAGGACTAATACATCATGCTCCTCAAACAATCCTCTAATTTTCAGAGTGCTATCAGTAGAGATACCTTAAATAGCTTGAATAGATTTAATACCTGTGTTATCCTCGTCTCCAGAAATTTGTTCTTCTATCTGATGGTAGTCCTTCATCTCTTGGGTAATTAATTCCTCTACGGCCATCATGGTTTTTGATTTGTAGTGGTGGCTTGGGAAGTAACGTTCATTGCACTTGTAACAGGAGACTGTTTTTCTATCTTCATTCTCTTTCGTTGGTTGCTTTAGAGCCGTGTTTTGGGAGCGGACCGACTCCCTAGTTTCTGAGGGTGTTGAGTACTGGCTACTCCTTCCTATGAAGTAAGCACTTCTCGACATCTCATTGATAGATTGCTGATGTAAAAGTTTATGTTCAAAAGCTTGGTTAAGGGACCATAGTTGCAGCCTTATCATAGGATGTAGTTTTGGCTTCAATCTGATGATAAAACTTGAAATGAAAAACATCTCTGTTAGGATCAGATTATTTACCTTTCATTAGGGCCCTGAAATATTCAAACTGCTTCTCGTAATCTGAGACAGGTCCAGTCTGCACTAATTTGTTGAATCCTCAATGAAATCTTTTCTAGCAGCTGCTTCTTGTACCAAGGTTGGTTAGCAGAGAATAAAGAATTGGAGGGGAGGAACTTTTAGAAGATTCCATTGAGGATTTCAAAAAAAAAAAGAGAGAAGTAAACTTTTTATTTTAAAAAAAAAAGAGAGAAGTAACTTTTACTTTTTGCCACTCTAGAGTGCCATGAACCAAAAAATACTTGTTATAGCGTTGGACCCAGGCTCTTGGGTTCATCTCTTTGGAGGGAGGAATTTCTACTTTTGGTAGCATCACAAAAGGGGTCACCACATTCCTGGTGTGGGAAGTATAGTGGATATCCTCGACATTGTGCTCACTGGCATAGGAAGTACTCTGGCAACCATGAAAACAGGGGCTTTGTGGCTGCCCTGTTAATTGACTCCATGGATCACGAACGGAGACTTAACACCTCCATCATCTGATCAAATTGTTGTTTGGGTTGGTGCTGCCATTCATACATTTCCTTTATAAACTCCATAAGCCCTTGATCCACCTCCTTCACTAAATCCTCCATCTGTTGCAGCTTTTGTTGCTTCATAACAACTGCCTTTCCCTTTGATCGTGTTCTTGAAGCCATAGAATGGTAGGTCTCACTGAGTTCCACCTATTTTGATAACAATTTGTCAGAAACTTTACTCATCGGCCTGACTAGAGTTGGTGGCAATCGAGAGAAGAAGAAGTTGACAGATTCCTGAATTTAGGATTTGAATCAAAATCTGTTCTTCCCTCTAACTAGCTATATATACTAGCTGTAGGTGCCCTTTTAGTTAAATTTATTCCCAACTGTATCCTTTAAGTGGTTTCCTTACAGGTACATGTTCTATTATTTCCTTGTGAGAATCACTCTTGCAAATTTATTTGCATGTAATGAGTTGTATTTGCATGTGTCGCTATCATGTAATCCCCAAATTAAAGCATTAAACATTCAAGAAATTATCATAACATTTTATTTTCTCTAAGCACATAATTCTGGAAAATCTTCTTTACATTTGGTCTAGGATACATGCAAGAACCGTGGTTTGTTTTTGGCTCAAAGCTCATTTATCATTGCCTTTCTCCGTGTTGGATTATGTTCTCCTTTTAGAAGTCAAAAGACTAGATGTAATACCCGAATCCGAAAAACGACTCGAGATATTTTTTTTATTTTTATTTAAGTGAAATTTTGAGGAAAAATGAATTAGGGACGAGATTGAAAATAATTTTGAAAAAAAATGTGAAATTTTAAGGGTGTTTTTGAAAGAAAAATTGGAAACAAGAGGTGAAAATGCAAAAAGGAAAAGTTTGACCACGTAAGACCATTTAGTCAGTTGTCCCGACAAACCGGAGCACATGGCGCGGTAAGACACGCTGACGTCGGTGTCACGCAGGAGGTTACGTGGGTGATCCGCGTGCCCTGTGATCGGACGACCTAGGATCGATCTCGCGCGCATAGACAGTCTGGATTCGTTTCTCCCTTAAGCACGATCGGACGACCGAGATCAATCGCGATAAACGGCTCATATTTGTTTTTTACTTAGACGCGATCGGACGAACGAGATTGATCGTGATGGACGGTCCAGATTAATGCGAGATGGGTATAAATACTTCGCGTCACACAAGAACTTAAACCCTAGCTGCCAGCCCCTGCTGGAGAAGAACTATACTCCAGAGAAGGAGGCCGACCACTGACCGCCGCCCACCAAAAAAGGTCAAAATTCTCCCTACCAAATTCCAAGCACTCCTGTAGCCAAATTGGAGCAAGAATAATGGCAAGTGAACTGAAAATTGCAGGCAAAGCCCGGAACTGCCGCGGCCAAAACCCCAAATTTCCTCCGATGAGCCCTTTTCTACTTCTCATTTCACGTGATTTTTCGGTCATTGTGTTCACCGTCCTTTTCTATGCAGATTAGCCGAAGAAAGAATCTCAATCGCGAAGGAGGACCGGCGGAGCCGCCGCACCCAGAGGTCCCTTCTCACCGGTAAGTTCGGTTTTTGTAATTTTTTTGGCCAATTGAGACCTCCTAACGTATTTTTCTACAGAGACACGTGCAAAACCGGCCAAAACTGGATAGATCAAGGCGAACTGCCGTCGTGGGCGGTGGAGCTGGCACCAGAGCACGGCGGCACTGCTGTGCCGGAATCCCAAAATTGGCCGGAAAGGATTTTGAACAGCGATTTTAGATTTTTAGGATATTTTTAGTTACGTGACGAGTGTTTTGAATTCTGTAGGAAAACTTCAGGGAACCCTGTATCCGTTAGGAGGCATGGTAGACAGCGCGATATCTCAAAATACCGATTCAGATCAGAATATCTCACCTTATTTTCTGTCATGGTAAATTGAGATTTAACGATGTGTAATTTTCTGTTTTTATTAAAAATTAGAAAATTCTAAAAATAATTACAGATCACTAGTGCAGCCGGAATCGGTTAGTTCACAATTGTCTTGATTTCTCGTTTATTTTCCTATATTGTCCTACTCGCTTGATTTTTGTATAGTATATGTTCTTAATTTATAGTTTTAATGGTTTCATCGATTTATCTGGTTATTTTGGTTATATACCATTAGTATAAATGTAGTTTAATTGATTTGTAAATGTACAATGAGATATTGGTATGCGTTTATTAGTTGTTTATTGATGGAAATTTGTATGTGAAAGACTTACTGGGTATGCGGAGAAAGGGCGGACGGGGCCAGTGCATAGGGAATCCTACCGTGAACGTTATCTCAGTTGGACGGGTTAGAAAATTCCCTTATTAGAAAAGTTTGGGAGATATGGTTCATTCTTATACCGGACGGGATATCAACGCGATGAAATGTTTGACGCTCATTACTGAACGGGGTATGGGGTCCACGGGTAGGGAGGACATCCCTATCGACCCCCAAGGGTACCAGTAAGCAGGTATAGAAAGAAAAATTATTATTTCTTGTTCTCTCATGCGTGAAAGTGCAAAGTGGTATGGATATGGGTCTTTGTAGGTTGTTTTTGAAAAACTCGTTACGGTAAGTATCAAACAAACGTCTTCAAGTTTAAAGATATTTAAATAAAGGGTTTCATTAATTGTTTTCAGATTTTTACCAATCTTCAGTTTTCCGTATATATAATTAGTGTGATATTCTTATTGGATTAGTGTAACTCATCATTTCATTAACCATCTCAGATCAAGAGGAGTAGGATCCAGATCCTAATCAGTAAAAGGGTTGTGAGTAGTTCACCACCCGAACTCCCTTTAAGTACTAGTGAATGTTGTTTTAGAGCACTTCTGTATTCGCTCTTTTTTTTTTTTATTTCTTTAATTAATGTTTGATTTTTATCAGGGATGTTCCCATAACTTTATTGAGCATTCTAAATTATTATGTGAGAACTATAAACTTTAATTCTATTAATCGATTTCGCATTTAATTTTATGAATTCATTTCCTATTTAAGTTCCGAGCCTTTACACTAGAATTTTCCATTGTCTGAAGAACTTGGGAAGCAGGGATAAGAGAAATCATGATCAAGAACAATATTTGATGCTGAAGTTTTAGAAACAATGGAAGAAGTTTCTTTAGCCATGGTTGGTGAAAACTTCAAATTGGTGAAGAACACTGATTAATATCTGTTCTGATATCATGCAAAAAATTGGTAGAATATCCAACTATTCCATTTTGGCAAATATATACATGATAGAAATATTACAAGCCTAAGATTCTGAAAAGAGATCAGGAGAAAAAATTGCTATCAAATAAATAGAGAATGAATCACTTAATTTTTGCTTCAGCAATATCTTAGTTTGTAATTTACAGGTCTAACTTGTTATTGGATAGTCGACTCCAATAAGCACAATGCGATGTGCATGTTTTATTTATGCCATAATTGATTTGTTTCTCTAGTTCCCTAATTTTTGATAATGTCCAAAAACACTGCAAGCAGGTTCATGATGGTGATTTACAGCACGTGCTATGTGAAGCTTTGGAGGACATATCCGTAGAGAAGAAATATCAGGAGAGGTGCTTGCTGATGCTGGCTGATGCACTACAGACACAAGAGGAGTGTATGTCAGAAGGAAGCCATACTTATGATGCAGAAAGAATCAGTCTGTTTTCGAGATATCAGTTATTGGTGTCCTCGGTTCTTATGGCTAGTCTTCCTAGGCATTTTCCTGGTATGTATGTCTCTAGTGGTTGGGTATGGCATTCTGCAGTAAGTTATTTTTGCTTTAAGTTTTAAGAATCTGAAATATCTTTTGACAACCAATGGTTAAACATCCAATCCAATTCTGCTTCTCTCTGTGTTATTTTTTTTTTCCTAAACCCACTTGTGTAAGTAGGATTTTCGTTCAAGAGAACTCATGTTTGCCAAAGGAAAATAGATAGAGCTGAAACACTACCATTGTTTTAGATTGCCCTGTTGGTATGTCTTGTTTAGTTTTTTCCCATTGCTACATGTCTCCAATTTTTAACATAACGTTGCCGCAATTATATTCACTCGTCAGATCGTATGTTGCTGACTTTTGCAGTAGGGATCTATCTTATGAATTTGTTATTAACTGAACGAATTTTTTTTTTGAAATAAAAGTAAGATATGTATTGATGTAAGTGCCAAAGGGCACCGGCCATGTACAAAATTTACAAATCGCTTAGAATATCTACAATGAGACGAAGATTCTCATTACAATCAAGGCTTTGCGCTAGAACAATTGAGTCAAAATAATGGAATCAGTTATCCTTGATAGTATTAAAATCAACCTCTTTCCCCTCAAACGCACGATTGTTTCTTTCTTTCCAAATGACCCAAAAGATGGTGAGAGGTACAAGTCTCATTGATTTATTACTTCTGAATAAGCCTTCCCAAGCCAGTAGTTTGGTGGAGATCTTCTCTGCCATGACCCAGGAGATGCCTAAGAGGATGAGAACCATAGACCAGAGCTTGAAAGAAGCTTGATTGTTAAGTGAAGGAATTTGTTATTGTTTTTCTTTTCTTGGTATCATTTTGTCTGACAACATAATTACTATCTCTTTCTTCCTCCATATTATGTTCATAGAAATACTCCACTGGTATTTTAAGGAAAAGCTGGAGGAATTAAGTATGCTCATGGATGGAGAGAACAAGGAAAATGAATTTTATGGTAAAGATGATATGGATTTGGATGAAAAGAATAAATGCAGAATCGGTGAAATGGATATTGGTGAAAACAAACTGGTGAAGAACATCGGAAAGGTTGTTCGTGATCTTAGAAGTCTTGGATTTATTTCCATGGCTGAAGATGCCTATGCTTCTGCTATCTTCTTGCTTCTGAAGGTGGACATCTGATTTATTTTTCAATCAATTTCAAATATCTTGTTCACACTTGAAAAGTATTGCAGTAATCTTTTACTCGATATTTTATCCTAAGCCCCTTTTTCGTATTATTTTGCAACAATTCATTGACTCCATGATTCATTAGTGTTTTCTTGACACAAATCACTCCTAAAAGCATTTTAGTCACAGCTCTCTCTTTACATGGCAGGATAAAGTGCATGATGTGGCTGGGGATGACTACAGGACTTCCGTTTTGGAGTCTATCAAAGGGTGGATACAGGTTTTTATGTTTGTAAAATCTTTCTTCTTTTGGTGCATCCCATGTAATAGCATGATGTCTCTTATAAATTATTTTTTTCAATAATATCTTCCTTGTCTGTTGAAAGAAGGGCGTTAACCTTTTTCTATCAGACAATATGTTATATATGGTCACATGACTATTAAAAGGATAAGCTCATTGATAAATGACCAAAAACTTACTTGGTATAAATTAAATGTGTGGTTTTCTTGGTCAAAAACAATTACTTTTTTATATGGGTTCAGATTGTTCAATGAATTGTCCTTTCTCTCTTTAGCCTGTCCAAAATTCCTGAAAAGTATTCTGTTTATCCATGCCATCGTATACTGTCTATAAAATTATTTTTTGCTCCATGAAGTTAATTTTTTTTAATTTTTTTTTTGCTTTCCCTGAAGATTTATAGCTTCTCCCTGCAAGCTATTGCATGTTTTCATGTTGGTCACAAATTGTTTCTTATACTTGAAACTATTTGCACAGGCTGTGCCTCTCCAGTTCTTAAATGCACTCCTCACTTACCTTGGTGAATCTGTTGGTTATGGTGGTCCTTCATCTGGTGTGAAGTCGCCTTTAGCTTCATCATGCAATCCTGGAGTTGTTACTCCTTCTGAAGGACTTGTTAGGTGGCAATTGCGGCTAGAGTATTTTGCTTATGAAACATTACAAGATTTAAGGATAGCCAAACTATTCGAGATTATTGTGGATTATCCTGAGAGGTAATTCTTGTTTGTACTATCACTCAAATTTCCCATTTACATTCTCTTTGTAAAAGCAGGAAATGATAGTTTTCTGTTGTTATCATTGTAGTTTCATGTTTTCAACTTACACATGTTCTGATTGTATCCACGTTAACTTTTTTAAAATGATGCAGTTCTCCCGCAATTGAAGACTTGAAACAATGTCTGGAATATACTGGGCAACATTCTAAGCTTGTTGACTCTTTCATTTCTGCACTGAAGTACCGCCTGCTCACTGCAGGTGCCTCAACCAATGACATATTACATCAATATGTCTCAACAATTAAAGCACTCCGGACGATAGACCCGGCTGGAGTTCTCCTTGAAGCAGTGGGTGAACCAATAAAAGACTATTTACGGGGAAGGAAAGATACCATAAAATGCATTGTCACCATGCTTACTGATGGTAGTGGTGGCAATCCAAATGGATCTGGAAGTACTGGGGATAGCCTTCTTGAAGAATTAAATAGAGATGAAGAAAGTCAAGAGAATGTTGCTGTTGATGATGATTTCACTACTGATGACAAGCAAGGGTGGAGTAATGCTGCATGGTATGTGTGTTTTATCATGGTTATATTTTAAGTAATGGAGTATCGGAAATATTAAATTCCAGTATACTAAAAATTTTAGCCAAGAATGTATTCTTTTCCTCTCCATATTGCACACTGACTTATTTCTTCGCGTTCCTTTCAGCTGGGAGCCTGATCCTGTTGAGGCTGACCCATCCAGGGGTAGCAGAAATCGCAGGAAGATTGACATACTTGGTATGATTGTTGGAATTATTGGATCAAAAGATCAACTTGTCAATGAATATCGTGTTATGCTGGCTGAAAAGCTTCTAAGCAAATCCGATTATGATATTGATTCAGAGATACGTACGTTAGAACTCCTCAAGGCAGGTTTCTTATCTATAATATTCTGTTATTTGTTCAATGAAATGACTCGACTGAGTTCTGTTGGATTCTTTTGGATTTTTGTTGATTTAAGTTATTCACCTAAACATGCCAATGTTATCTTCATTTCTTTTCTATCAATCTCCAGATACATTTTGGAGAGAGCAGCATGCAGAGATGTGAAATTATGCTCAATGACTTGATTGATTCCAAGAGGACTAACACCAACATTAAATGCACTATTGCAAAACCATCTCTATGGGGTAGGTTTTAATTGTTGAAAACTTACTGCTGCTTGGTAGGTTCCTGGCCATCATTTTTTCCTTGCACTTTTTTTGGATGCATCTTTAGGTGCTGAGAGTGGGATATCTCTGGAAATTCTTGATGCTACAATCATATCTTCAAATTTCTGGCCTCCAATCCAGGTAAAAAAAGTGTCATACATTCAAAGTTTGTAGATGTTAGAAATTGGTCCATTTATGAGAGCCCTCCAGTTCCTTGTGGATATGCGAACTTTGTAGCAGCTCTGGAAGTTTCGTAGCTTATTTTCTTTGTGCTAGCTAAATTAACTTTTTATCTATTCTCCATTGGATGAAGGTTTTTTCCCCTTAAAAATTTTTTTTCAAGCCCTGAAGCAAACCAAATGGCTGGCGAGCCTGAGAAGATAGGGAAATTTTGTCTATATATTGCTGTCCCCTTGTGGTATTTGCAAACCCCAGTTCACCTATTACTATTGCAGAACATTTTGGCTTTTGCCTATTTCTCTTCCCTAACAATATGGAGGATTCTCCGAAACCATATTTGATAAACCTGTGTTAAATAAAGACTTCTTTTCTCTTTAAAGGCACAGGCAAATTGCCTGAAACAGACCCTAATGCATAATGATTTAATTTCTGTTTTACTTTGGAAAAGATTCTATGCAGTGCCCATTTCATACTGATAGTTAATATTCTTTGCTTCCAGTTTCATTGCAGTATAATAAGTTTTTAATAGTCTATTGATATTATAGTGCAGTATTTTATCAGATATAGGAAATAGATTATGGTCCTTGAATTATACAGCATATAATTCCCTGTATTTTTTAAAAAATTTGTTTATAATTTCAGTTTTAAGTTTTAATTCTTATGATTTCAGTATATCAACTCTTGTTTTCATTGTAAGTAACTTTAAGAATGCAATATCAGGATGAGCACCTTATCATACCCGAGCCTGTTGACCAGCTGCTTGTTGATTATGCAAAAAGGTTCCATGAAATCAAGACGCCTCGTAAACTATTTTGGAAGAAAAATCTTGGTACCATCAAGGTTTGATGCTTTCATCAGACACCTGTTTCTTGATACAAATAGCGTTAGTATTCACTTTCTGCAGCATCTAGCTTAAAAGAAATTACTGCTTTTCAATTCTCGCATTTCCAATTCCTGTCTATGACTTAACATCTTGTTTCCTTTGTCTCTTTTATCTCGGTGAATGGATTTAGTTGGAGTTGCAATTTGAAGATAGAGCAATGCAGTTCACAGTGGCTCCCATACATGCTGCAATTATCATGCAATTTCAAGACCAAACAAGGTAAAATTCAATAGTCATCCCAATAGTTTCTATGTCATTGGCAATGTAATGATGAATTAATTTCTAATTTCAGCTGGACCTCCAAAAGCCTTGCTGTTGTGGTTGGTGTACCCATCGATGTACTGAATCGGAGGATAAACTTCTGGATAAGCAAGGTATGTTTCATAAATTCTAACAGTGTTCCATTATCTGATAATTGGACATATTCAATACTTCCCTTTTTCATGACAATAAGTTCATTGTAAACAATTAGTTAACTGCCAAAATTAGTATCACTGACTTCAGTAGCTTTTCCTTTCATGAGCTTGTTTGGTACTCCAGATGTAAATCAGGGAAGTATTTTCAGTTTCTTTGGTAAGAAAAAATTTCTTTTGTATTAATTTGCTGACCTGTTGGAGATTTTGACCAAGACCTTTCTGATGTTTGAATCACTTAGCTGCAGTTTTCTCATGAACTAGAACTGTTTGTTTGCAGGCAGTAGCTAAAATTGCCCTAACTTGTCCAAATTCTTTCTTATCTGACATTAAATTTAATCTTCTTAAATTGGTAGAATTTGAATCGCAGCCTAAGTTTTGTGTTGTTTTCCCAGGGAGTTCTTGCTGAATCACAGGGGACAGACTCCAATGACCATGTTTTTACCCTCTTGGAAGGCATTGTTGATCCTAATAAGAGTGGCGCTAATGATGGAAGTTCTGATGAGCTTCTACCAGGTGATGATGAAGGAAAAATGTCTGTGGCATCCATTGAGGACCAAATACGAAAAGAAATGACCGTGTACGAGGTGTGTGATTTGATGCTAACATTCTCAATCTACTGCTATGATTCATATTCTTGGATGATTAGATTACTGTTTGAAATCAACAATATGTATTCAAAGTATTCATTATGTATTCAATGCGAGTTTTGACATCGTTCTCTATGCAATATAAAAATAATTTTTTATGAAGTTTGTGCATAAGAGCATCCTTTCATCCATGGATTGGGGACCGCGCTAGCATTTGTTGTTTCACTATCAAATTCTCATTTCATAAATTTGGAGTTCTGCTACTATCTTTCTCAACTTTTCCTTTTGATCTAACCCTTGATATGAGAGATCAAAGGTGCAGATATGTAACTTTTGTGAAAGAAATATTACAAAGCCTGCTTTTATGAACATTCTTTCATCCGTGGATTTGGGGTTTGGGCTAGTATTTGCTGTTTTACCACCAAGTAACTCCAGTAAATATGTAGTTCTGCTACTATCCCTTTTAACTTTTCCCTTTTGACATAAACCTTGATATGCTAGGGAAAGGTGCATGCACATGTTTCTTTTTAATATGTTATTGCTCCTCTATATGCTCCTCAGTGGCTTTTCCTTTATGTAGAAATTTATCATGGGGATGCTCACAAATTTCGGTAGCATGGCATTGGATCGAATTCACAATACTCTCAAGGTAATTGATATGCTTATTAATTTGAATTTGGTATGACCAATGTAATTTCTATAGTGGAGATAGAGTGGTTTGTTAAACAAAATAACGTCATAGTTGATACATGTTACTTTTTGAATTATGCTTCTGTAGATGTTCTGTATAGCAGATCCTTCCTATGATAAATCACTCCAACAACTGCAAAGCTTTTTATCTGGTCTAGTTTCAGAAGAGAAGTTAGAATTCCGGGATGGAATGTACTTTCTGAAGAAGTAATTAGGTTGAGATAATCAGAATAGACTTTGCTTTGAAGTTGTACCCGATTCCATTGGTGAGATCGTCGTTTTATTGTTTTAATGTTAGTAGAGGCTATTTGTTTTTGTTTCAATCTCAAATCTCTCCTGCTTACCTTGCCAAAATACAAATTGAATTTGAATTGTTAATGATGGAAACTCGATGTTAGAGCAGTCAAAGCATCAACACTTGACGAACGTTTGGAATAGCTTTGACAAAGTAACCAGGATTACTGCAATCCCGTGGAAATTTTGGTCATTGGTAATGTTACAAGCCTATGACAGCCAACGATACACAGGTTTTTGAAGAGTTTAGATTTTGCAGCAGTTTGTTATTCCAATCATCCCAAATATCCTGTTCTGGAGTTGGAAGTTTTCTTCAACACTGTAAATTATTAGGGTCTAATAGTAGCTGGGTCTAAGAAGGTTGCTTTCAATTTATGTGCTGTAAAATTTTTCTTTTTGAAGGAAAAAAAAAAGAAGGCTGCTTTTTCATCTTGCCTGCAGAAGACTCTTCTTACTTAATGAGCATGGAGTCCAGAATTAGGCAGGCCTGAAATGTTGATGAAATCTCATAAACGGTTACTGACATTCTTGTGTATTTTTATCAAATTTAGGATGGAATAGTCGTAGTAATTTGTATTATGTAGAGATACTCCTATCTTAAATGAAATGCCCTGTAGTTTTGGCACCCTGCATGTTGAAAACTTAAGCAGGAACTGGAATTGACCACCCGTCCCCTGATAATCATAGAACTGATGTTGCAGTCGGTAGAATTTGATTCCCAGCCTCTACTGTGAGAAATTGCTTCAATGGTCATCTATGCCATCTTGCTTGATGGGTGAGGTTCATAAGTTGTGAATTAAACTTAAGCAATTATAAAAGGTTACAGGGTTTTTAAGATTGGTCAAGATTGTATATCTTGGGAATTGACATTTCTATTGTAAAATTAATGGCTTGAGTTGACTCTTACCCTTTATTATTGAAAATCATTTGCTTAAGTAATTATAAGTAATTATCTGTGTCTTAGTAAGCATCCAAGGTTTGATTTCCTTCATGTGATATTGCAAGGATATCTTTGTTTTCAATATAGATGTATTGTTTCTTAATCGAATTAAGAACAAACTCATGAAAGTTAGTCCGAACCACTAGAGTAGAAAAAGTAGTATTCGTTTACTTGCAATGTAAATTTTATTGTAGTCTTAAAGATGCCACCTGTTGAGGTCAGTTGTCTATCCTAATAATCTAGTGGTAGAGGTACAAGTTCAAGAAGTTACTTTCAAAAGTTTACTTCAGTCCCCAGGTTCAGCTTAGAAGCTACAACTACAAGAATCTACGTTTAGAAGTTTATTATGCTTTTAAAGTCTAAGTTGGAAGTCTTATCTTAGAAATATACTTGCTATCCGCAGAGGCTTGTTTGGAGACCCAGTAATGCAGATGGAAACATTATAGTTTCTTTCTTAATTCATTTGATTTTATGACAGCATCATATTCTACATCTTTCCGAACTTAGCAAGTCTTTTTTGTTTTTTAAATAAATGTTATAAATCATAATTTACTTCCTTGTGTAGGGTATGTCAATTTACCCCACACTCTATTACTAATTATTAAATGTTCTAAATATATATAACATATTTTATAAGTAAATAATTAATTTCAAATTTTTTTTTAATCAAATAAGGAAAGGAAATTTAAATACATCAATTATGTTTACAAAATGCTATTGAATTACTTCATAATAATGCATTCCTATTTGCCAAATTCAACTCCTCCAAATCAGCTATTGGCGTTATATCAAATGTGGGGCCAAAAATATGGGTAGAAAAAGGGCGTGGAGAAACCTAAGTGACCGTTACAAATCCTCAACGATTATAATATTCTAATTTTTATTCATTTTAATTTAATTTCATAAAATTATTAATTTCCCTTAATTATTGAAAATATTTAGATATTTTTTCTTTATAATCTATTTTTAAAGAAATAAAAAATTATTGAGCAATTAAAGATTTTAAAGAATTAAAGGTTACTATTACTATAAATCTCTAAATAAACTAAAATTTCAAGTACTTGAAAAGTAATTTGTTAATTGAAAATTCACTGTGCCCGGCTTTGGTCGAAATCTCAACCCCAGTCACCTCTTATTTTATTCTTCAAAAAATGGGAAAGTAACCGTTACGAACCCTCAAATTTAAAATCTACAAAC